CCACACTACTCATGCATTATCAACAGGGTGACAAGTCAAGTATCATGCACATGTAGTTCTAATGTGACATTTAAGCTTTAAGAATTGACTTTACTCATCAAGGACTCTTGTTCTATCATGTAGATCATGGTGGACTCCAAACTCTTCCTCCTCTACCTTCCATTTGCCAAGCTCACTTCAAAAGTTAGCACTCAATGTTAAGATTCATGAAAGGTTCACTCTTCTCTCACAAGAGAATGTCACAAGTACGGCTTCAAGTACCATAGGCTTGCCCCTCATGTAGATCACTACTAATGTAAGCTCACTCGGTTCGAAATCAAGTAGGACTTCTTTTGGGTTGTAATGAAGGCTTTTGGATTGGGGTAAGATACCATATGGGTAAGTGGTTACACCTTTCCTTAAGCACTCCACATTTTTATTTCTTGGCTCACAATTACTAATTCATAGAGGTATTCTCTTTTTCTTGGGGGCTAGAGAGACTTTGCATCACTCTTTCTTGGTCATTTCATTCTTTTTCTCCCTTGATGTTCATGTTAGGGATAATTACCTCTTTTTGATTCCATCAACCCTTCCTTTTATTTTCCTTGTTGCATTTTCTTTTTGTTCCTTTTCTTTTCTTGCCTTATCTTTTCATAGAGATCATTTCTTTCTCTTTTTGGTGCCTTGATACCTCTTTCAAATTTCTCAACTCTTCCCCCAAACTTATGCTTTAAGCCACTTATTTCACAAGAGTATTAAGGAAGATCCGGGTGCCAAGAGAGGATCATAACAAAACGGGTAAAGGCTTATATCATGGTTATCAAACGAGAAAGGTTAAAGGCTCAAGGGGGTTGACTAGGGATAACTACATTGGTAGGCCAAAGAAGCTCAAACGAACCAAGGAAAGCCTATAATCACTTCTCAAACCAAGCAACTAGACCGTAAAAGAGGATAGATTCGAGAGCCTACAACAACCACAATCAGGTTAAAGATCACTATGGTCCAATAAACCACTCGATGATTACCAAAGTCAACCAAAGAGTCTAAAAGTCACTCATTAGAGCTATTTTTCTTTCTAAAACCTTGTTTCAAACCATAAGCACATAGTTAAGTGTGTTGGTACCAAATGAAGCATAAATAACTCTTTTTCGATAATGACTTGATTAGGCCTTTTATTCATTACTAATTTATTATTATTACCTAGACACAAAAATTGACTCATTCCCTTAAGAAGGTTGTCACTCCATCCATCGTTGGGACGAGCCACCCGGTTCACACAAAAAAAAACTACCTTTGAAAAGAACCATGGCATTAAGAAACCCAAAGGCTTATTATCCAACTACTACAAAAAACATAACAAGAAACTACTAACAAACACAAAAACTAAAGTGAAAAATTAATGAATCTAATGAACAATAACTACTAAAGATAGATAAACTACAAATAAGAAAAGGAACATAATTATCCAATTATTACAGTCCAAATGTATCAAATCCCTAAGGATCCTTAGACATCTCAGTGTCCCCAGCAACATCATCTCCCGTTGAGTCAGCCAGCTGTATCTCATCATCATCATATTTGGTTGTGGCGGGAGTGGCAAACATCGCACACACTGCCTCAGCAGTGTCGACAGCAAGGCTTGGCTCATCAAACTGGCCAGCTGGTGCAACCAGTACAGATGGATCTGGGACGGACTTCTGGGTCGAGTAAAATATCAAAAGGTAGATCTCCAGCCATCGCAAGTCTAGTCACCTCCTTCCTGAGCTTGTCAACCAATCTCTTGCTTGCCTGAGACTTCCTCATCTTCTTTACTTCTTTGGCTAACTCCTCAATAACCGATCCATATTGTCCATGATCATCATTTGGTTGTCTAGAATATTCTTCAACTTATTATCAAGATCAGTGGAAACCTGTGGTGCCTGCGTAGGTGAGTGCGCTGCAATAGTACTAGATATGTGAGACAGCTTTGAAGTATCTGTCTGCATCAAGTTGTTGAGACTCGCAGAGCAGATAATGGAGCTGTAGGCATGGGCATCGGCCTCGAGGATGTAGTAGGGGATGCCTTGGGGGCTGTGATAGAATATGACAGTGGTGGCGAAGGCATAGCAGCATCACTAGAAGCGGGCTCAGCAGAGGTCGATGGAATGTCAGCTATCTCAGAGACTACCACTGCCGGCTCATCAGATTGGCCTGTGGTGGTAGAAGGCTGAACTCTCTTCTTTGGATTGGCCGCATCCATCAAGGAGTACCAGTCAAACGGCTTCTTTGGCTTCACCTTAGTGTCATAAGTTCTCGGCTCTACCTTTGCATCAGTAAGGTACTCTGTAATGGTGTTGGGATAAGGTTAGGCCATGTTGGTCTGCTGAGCTACCAATGAAATGTTGGCCAACATCACGGCACCCACATTAATTGGGTACCCGGCCATGATAGAAGCCACAAGAACAACACGTGGAAGGGGAAAATGAGTCTCGTTCTGGCACGGATCAAGTCTGTTGCATAAAAAAGTCTGCCATCTCTCCGCCTCAAAACTCAATGTGCTCCGATGGATGGGAACTCCAGCAGTGATCCATGGTGGTGGTAGCCATGGTGGTGCTAAGATCTCCGCTAGCCAAGGGCGTACTTCTTCTTTCATATCACATTTCTCCAGATACTCCTTCGGCTCCAAGTCCTCAAACCCCAAGTACGCATTTAGTGTGTGTTGATCAAACCACACCTTGAAGTTGCGTACTTTAGTCACCTTCGTCCCCTTCTTGATGTGAGAAACATTGGCGTAGAACTCTCGGATGAGGTACTCCTTGGCATTTTCAACTCTCTTAGTAAACCAAATCCAATCCTTTCTTACTCTAAACTGCCTCAACACTGCCAGGTTGTATCTATCCAAATCCTTCAAGAGAAACTGCCGCTCAAGTGTCAAGGATCTTACCGGCCACCATATACGAAAGTCAGTGGAAGCAGCCAAGCTAACGAACCTATCCTCCTATATATCCTTTTCTTAGATCTCTCCACACCCGTGGATGTACCATCTCCCCCTCTACCATCATCGGGGATGTCCTGTACAATCTGTGCATATGTGTTTGGGACAGCTGCTGGCTTAGAGGTTTGGCTAGCACTTTCTGACCCCTCAGAAGTGCTGTGAGAAGAAGAGGACTCATTTATGGCCTAGACTGTGTGGCTGCCTACTTCTCCTGAATAGAGGCTGAGTTGCCCTCGGAAGATTCCCTAGACGGGACATCGGAACTAGACTTGGAGAGGTTTGCACCTCTCCCTCTGCCAGCTGTGGACTTCTTCCGGATAGTTTTGGGCTGGCTAAGGGGCAAGGTATCTCTACCTCGACCCCTAGAAAATTCACCTCATCATTTTGTAGTTTTGTCACAGCCGCACAATTGAACCATTAACTGTATCAAAGCAAAGAGGATTGTTAGTTGCAATTCATCATTTAACACATTCAAGACTTATGTAGGTAAGGGAGAACATTGGGGACACAGTGAGGTTATGGCTAAACATCAGGCTACTGGAGTTGATTTCTGCGGTCCGCATATTTTTAATGTGCGGCCGCAGAATAGAAGTGCGAATCGCACAATTTCAAGTGCGGCCAAACTTCATACAATGAAACTTCAGAGGCTCAGAAGCCTCTCTCTAACACAGTGCGAGGGCTGTTTTGCAGCCGCATAATAAATCTGCGGTCCGCACATAGGGGTCTCAAAAAGGGTAGACCTCTGATGGCTTAGGTGCAGCCGCTCTTAGAATTCTATGATCCACACATTTTAAGTGCGGCCGCAGAAGCACAAGCCTTCAACAATTCGTTCAAAACACCAAATGGCGGACCGCACAATTTCAAGTGCATCCGTAGATTTCAAACATTACATACATGCTATTTTTTTCTACTTAGATTTTGCAATTACTTGTACAAATCGGTATGGCAACATGGTATAAACATGAAATTTCACTAACCTAACCCCACAAAGCATGGAATATAAACTTTCTGGTACAAATCTACCCCACTTGGATACATGTATGAACTCTAATAACAGATGGCCTAAAAAAAAACTATAATTTCAAAAATTAAACTAACACAAAAAAATTTACATGAAATGAAGCATACCAGATAAAGTGAGTGCACTGGGTGTATAAGCACAGTTAAGTCTGTGTGTGGGACAGTGAAATTCTCTTAGGAAACTTGCAGAGTAACAGTGATCGTGAAGAGAGTGAAAAGTGAAAAATGAACTCAAAACTTCTATTTATACTAAAAGCTTTAAGAGAGAAAATGGGTCGAGTGCGGCCACAGATTTCCATGTGCGGTCTGCACTCTATCATCTGGTCTGCCTCCTTTGAACTTAATGTGTGGCCGTAAAAATAATCTTGCGGTCGCAGGTTAGCCCCGCACTGACAGGCTCAAACTTCAAAGAGTTGACATTTTTACACTTTGTCAAGATTCCAATTGTGCGGTCCGCATGAGAAATATGCGACCGTGAATGTACTTCTGCTATGGCACATAGAGTTGTGCGGTCCACACAAATAAAGTACGGTCCGCAGATCCTTGAGCACTTAGCCATTTTTTAGTTCACTCTTACTGCATGTCACACTCAACCCTGTAGTACACTTCAAATCAAGTTATAACACAAATAACTTCTAACTACAAAAGAAAAAGGAAAAGAACATGGGTTGCCTCCCAAAAAGCGTCTGATTTAACATCGCGACATGATGCAGAATCCCTCAAGTGAAGTAAATGACTGCCACTACGTGGCTATCTCCAACCTTGCCCAAGTAGTGCTTCACCCGATGACCATTGACTCGGAATACTTCATTATTTTTATTCTTCAAGTCTAATGCATCAAAAGATGTCACACCAATAATTTCAAATGTACCACTCCACTTGGATTTTAGCTTCCCGTGAACATTCTCAACCTTGAGTTAAACAACAATGCAAGATCTCCCACCTTGAACTCTTTGTTTCAAATGTATTTATCATGAAGATATTTCATATTTTCTTTGTACAAGGACAAACTCGCATAAGCATGGTATCAGAACTCATCCAACTCATTCAAATGTGTCACCCGCAAGTTAGCGGCTACATCCCAATCAAGATTCAACTTCTTTAGAGTCCATATTTCTTTGTGCTCTAGTTCCATCGGAAGATGCCAAGATTTTCCGAACACCAACTGGTATGGATGAATTCCGATAGATGTTTTGTTAACAGTCCGATAAGCCCATAATACATCATCAAGATTCTTGGACCAATCCGTTCGATTAGCATTCACTGTTTTAGACAAGACACTCTTTATCTACCGGTTGGAGACTTCCACTTGCCTACTAGCTTGTGGGTGATAGGGAGTCGTGACCTTGTGAGTAACACCATACTTGCTAATTAAAGTGTCAAATGCTTTCTTGAAAAAGTGTGACCCCCCATCGCTTATGATTGCACGTGGAGTACCAAAATATTGTGAAAATATTCTTCTTCAAGAAAGCCACTACACTTCTCGCCTCGTTGTTGGGTAAAGCGACGGCCTCAACCCATTTGGACACATAATCCACCATGACCAAGATATAGGTGTTTCCACAAGAGCTTACAAAAGGGCCCACGAAGTCAATTCCCCAAACATTGAAAATATTAATCTCCAAGTTGGTTGCGAGAGGCATTTCATTTTTATTTGAGATTCCACCAGCCCGTTGACATTCATCACATCTTTTCACCAATTCACTAGCATCAGTGTAAAGAGTAGGCTAATAGAAACCACAACTAAGCGCTTTGGTCACCGTTCTTGCTCCACCATGATGACCACCATATGGCGAAGAATGACAAGCTCCAAGAATATTACCTTGCTCTTCTTCCGGTACACACCTCCTAATCACCCCATCCATACAAATCCGAAAAAGGTATGGTTCATCCCAATAATAATCTAGACAATCTCTTTTGAGCTTCTTCCTTTAGCTTGAAGAGAACTCATCCGGTATGATTCTACACACAAGAAAATTTGCCAAGTCTGCAAACCAGGCACCTCTTTTATTGAAATGGCCAAAAATTGCTCATCAGAGAAGGAGTCATTGATTTCTAGGCCATCATGCGGCCTCCCCTCCTCCTCCAATCGAGATAAGTGATCTGCCACTTGGTTCTCACTACCTTTCCTATCTTGGATTTCAATATCAACTTCTTGCAACAAGAGCACCCATATCATCAACTTTTTGCTAGTAAGACAACGAAGCGCCGCATGGTCCATGTGGACAATAACTTTGGCACCCATCAAGTACGGGCGGAACTTCTCAATTGCAAACATAATAGCAAGGAGATATTTCTCCGTAACTGTATAGTTGACTTGGGCACTATTCATGGTCTTCCTAGCATAGTAGACCGGATGCAAAGTCTTGTTGATACATTTTCCCAAAACAACCCCAACCGCTACATCACTTGCATCACACATGAGTTCAAAAGGCACACTCCAATTTAGAGCGGTAATGATAGGAGTAGTTGTCAACTTGAGCTTCAATAATTTAAACGCTCTCATGCAATCATCATTGAAATTGAACTTGGCATCCTTCTCAAGGAGCTTGCACAATGGGTTCACCACTTTAGAGATTCTTTGATAAAGCACCGTTAAAAACCCGCGTGGCCTAGAAAACTTTGGACACCCTTCACCGAAGTTGGGGGTGGAAGCTTAGAAATCACCTCAATCTTTGCCTTGTCAACTTCAAATATATTCTTTGAGATTTATGGACAAGGACTATAGCTTCCTCAACCATGAAATGAAATTTCTCCCAATTAAGTACCAAGTTGGTTTCTTCACATCTAGCCAACATTTTGTCCAAATTTGCAAGACAGTCATCAAAAGAATCTCCAACCACCGATAAGTCGCACATGAAGACTTCAAGGGATTCCTCCACCATGTCCGTGAAAATAGCTATCATACACCGTTGAAATATTGCCGGTGCATTGCACAAACCAAATGGCATCTGATTGAAAGCAAAAGTACCATAGGGACATGTAAAGGTTATTTTCTCTTGATCTTCTAGAGCAATGAGAATTTGGTTGTATCCCGAGTACTTATCAAGAAAATAATAGAATGCACAGACGACCAATCTATCGAGCATTTGATCTAAGAACAGAAGTGGAAAGTGATCCTTCCTTTTCACTTTGTTGAGCTTGCAATAATCCATACAAACCCTCCAACCGGTAACCACCGTCATGCCCCCTTATTTGGTATACATTGAACCAGAGAGGTCCATGAACTATCGGACATGGGGTAGCCAACTTCGGCATCCAACCACTTGATAATCTCCTTCTTGACAACTTCTTGCATAGCCTCATTAAGTCTTCTTTGATGTTCAATGGATGGTTTGGCACCATCATCTAATTTGATCTTATGCATGAAAAAGGCAGGGGCTTATACTCCGAATGTCCGCCAAGGTCCACCCAATAGCCTTCTTCCTCTTTTGTAACATCGCCAATGTGAAATCAACCTGTACGTTAGTCAAACAAGAGGAAAGAATAACCGGTAAAGTAAAACAAGGGCCAAGAAATTAATGCCGAAGATGTGGAGGCAATGGATTCAATTCCAAGGTAGGTGGCTCTTCAATAGAAGGCTTTGTAGGAGGAGTCTTCTTATTTTTAAGATCCAAAGACAATTTCAGGGGGTGCATAATTGTACGACCCCTTTCTTTGCAAAGAGTTCACACACTCCATGAAACCATCCATCTCGTCATCATCAAAGTTGAGCTAGACAGCCTCTAACATATCACCAACATTGATAGTAGCACTTGTATCATCAACAATAACATTGGCCACCAAGTCCATAAAAGAACACACCGCATTGCTATTTGGTTGTCGCATGGAATACCACTTTTTCATCACCAACCCGGAAAGTGAGTTCTCTGTCTTCTACATCATAAAGAGCCTTACTGTAGCAAGGAAAGATCTCCCAAAAATGATTGGCACTTCATAATCAATTTCACAATCTAGAATGACACAGTCCGCCGGAAGAATGAATTTATCAACCGGACCAAAACATCTTCAATCAAACCCAACGACCTTTTCATGGTACGATCGACCATTTGCAATCTCATAGAAGTGGGTATTGGTTTCCCAATCCCCAAAGTCTTGAAAACCGAATAGGGCATTGAATTTATACTTGCCCCAAGATCACAAAGAGCTTTAACTCGGCACTTCCAATTGTACAAGGAATCATGAAAGCACCAGGATCCTCCGACTTAGGAGCCATCGAATGGACAATCGCACTCACTTGATGAGTGACTTTGATAGTATCAAAATTCATCGACCACTTCTTTATCACAAGATATTTCATAAACTTTGCATAACCGGGAATTTGTTTTAAAGTTTCTACCAATGGCACATTGATTGAAAGACTCTTCATCATTTGAAAGAACTTCTTGAATTGATTCTCACCATTTTTCTTGGCAAGTCTTTGAGGGTATGGATGTGGAGGCTTAGGCAATGGTGCCTTTTTCTTTTCTACTACCGATTCTGGTATGTCAATTATGTGTTCCCTAGACGGGTTCACCTCCTCTTGAGTCTCTTCTACACTATCATCAATATCAATCCAAAACCTTCTCATTTTCTTAAACCACATTGTTTGGGATCTCTTCTACTTGCATCACTTGGTCATCATAAACACGTCTCCTTTCACTTGAGGTGGGTGCATTCCCACCGCTTTCACTTGTGATAACCGCTATAGCGTACCCAGTATTGTTATTACCCTTCGAGTTCACCATTGTGTCATTTGGTAGTGCATCCTTAGGACGAGAATTTAGATCTTGAGAGATTTTCCCCATTTGAACTTCTAGATTTCGGATTGATGTGTTGTGTGAGGCAAGTTGGGCATCCGAATCGGCATTCTTTTCCATCATTTGCATGAACATATTCTTAATATGTCCCATCTTATTGTTTGAAGAACTTGAACCATGGGAAGGATAAGGAGGTGAGTTGCTCGGTTTTTGATACATTAGGTGCCTTTGAAAACCCGACCCTCGGTTGCCTTGAGTTTTACCCCAACCTCCTTGATTGTTGCCTTCCCAATTTCCTTGGTTGTTTCCACTCGAATTTCCTTGATTGTTGTTGTTATGCCAATTCCCTTGATTGTTAGAACTCCAATTTCCATAATTATTTTGTGGCCACCATTGTTGTTGGTTTGGACCTTGGAAGTTGTTTCTTTGCCCTTGAAATTTGTTCATATATTGCACTTATTCCTCTTACTCATTATAAGAATCATCTTGATCAAAACTGCTATTATCTTGCACGTAGTTCTCCACTCGAGTTTGTACTTGTGAACCTTTGGCCCTCCTCTTGTTCACCAAAACATTCACTCCCTCCATAGCATGAACTTGCTTAGGGGCTTGCACTTGATTTAGTTGGGCCTTTGCTAATTGAGTTATGGTAGTGGTCAATTCGGCAATGGCTTGCCCATAGTCTTGCAATGCTTTATGGAGGTGGATCATATTCGCATCACCTTGTGGAACATTGGCCCGGGATTGCCAAGTCGATGATGTCTCCACCATTTCATCTAGAATATCACACGCCTCCTCATAAGGCATAGTCATAAAGTTCCCACCGGCTAGTTGATTCACTACACATTGGTTGGTTGTGTTAATCCCATGATAAAAGGTTTTTTGCAACATGTTTTCCGTCATATCGTTGTTGGGACATTCCTTGACCATTATTCTATAGAGCTCCCAAATTTCGTGTAGTAGTTCATTCGGCTCTTATTTGAATGCCAAGATCTCATCTCTAAGTGTAGCCATGTGCTCGAAAGAGAAAAATCTAGAAATGAACTTGGCCATCAACTCATCCCAAGTATGAATCGAATGGTTCAGCAATAGTTCCAACCAATCCAAGGCTTTCCCCCATAGATAGAAGGGAAAAAGCCTTAGCCTCAATGCATCCTCAGAAATATTCCTTTGCTTGCTCCCCCAACATGTATCCATGAAACCCTTCAAATGTTTATAGGCACTTTGAGTTGGTGCACCGGTAAAGAAACCCCGTTGCTAAAGTAATGTGAGCATCACGTTGGTGATTTGAAAGTTGCCCGCTCTAATACGGGGAGAGACTATTGCACTAGCATAACCTTCGTTGGACAATATCCGGTATTGAGCCGCTTGTGGTGGAGGTAGGGGTGGAATGGGCTCATTGTCATGTGGTACCCGGCCTCTCCGATTGGATTGTGGCTCTTGAGGTACCTCATCTACTTGTTCCTCCTCACCGTCTAAGTCCCCCAAAGGCAAATTTCCGAGCTCATTGTTCGCCATGTTTGTACCTATGATTTCTTAAATAAATTAGTAACACGAAAGGGAAAGAAGATATTCCATAAATACACTCAATATATAGCTAACACTGTTTTAACTCCCTAGCAACGATGCCAAAAATTGATCCACTCCTAATCCACACTCAACAATGAGTGGAAGAGGTCGTTGGAAGGATAGTACCCAACTATGAGTCGGGGCCGATTTTCACATGGAGATAAGAATGGGTGCTGGAGTGTACACTTGATGCGTGTAAAGGAAACAACTTAAATACACTTCCAAATAAGTTTGTGTTGCAAATTACTTCTATGAACTACACTATTAATGATTAACTAGAGAGATGAAACTATAATTGACTAATTATTTTTGATTGTTTTCAAATAGGTAAAAAGCCTAGGGATGTAACCTTCGCCTAGGTGTTCGCCTAATGGGTTAATTACGTTAACACATTTTAGTGATTGGGGTGTATTATAGATCTCAACTCTAAGTTACCCACTTAATACCTCTCGGTCATAGAGTGATTTTGCCCAATTTGGCTTTCTCAAGTCCAAATGGGTATTATGCTAACTGGTTGATATGAGCTCAAGTCGGGTTTTTCCTATCTATAGTTCAAACCATTTAACTAGGCGAGTCAAATCCTTAACTAGCCTAATTTCTTGTTAGCCAAGCTTTCCTAGACTAGGTCCCTCTTTTTCAAGTAAAGACCAAGTCAAAAAAGCATGAATCAATGTTTGCAACCATTAATTATAAGATTAAAGCATGAACAAGGCTAAATAACAAACAATCATAAACAAGAATTAAATTAAATACCCATTAGGTTTACACACTAGAGTTGAGTCACAACCCAAGTAAATGTCTAGCTTCTCTTAGTAGAAAATGAAGAAAACAAAGAAGAAACACTAATTAAAGCCATAATATCAAATTAAAATGATAAACTATGATGTTTTTATCCCAAAATGATCGCAAATTTCATAAAATGGTAAACTACAACGGCTACAGCTAAGAAAAATTTAAAACTTGACCTAAAAAAATGATTCTCCTATATTTATAGTGGCCCAAAATTCACTGACAAAAATGCACTTCGGGAGTTTCTGCGGCCGCACAATTCCATGTGCGGTTCACACTTTGCTTTAGCTTGCAGGTTGAGGGATTCTGCAGCCGCATGATTCATGTGCGGTCAGCACTTCAGGTAAGGCTTCAGTCTTGGTCATTTTGCATGCTCTCTGAACTTTTTGAATTCTTGTCAGTGCGACCATGTTTTGCGGCCCCAAAAAATTATGTGCGGTCCGCACTTCTTTTTTCATTCCACCTCTGAGCTTCAACAACAGATCTGCGGCCGCATGGAGAATTCTATGGTCCGCTCTTTCTTCTACGGCCACATAAATACTTCTGCGGACTGCACTTTTGGTCTGTTGCTCTCTTTCTTTCCTTATGAGCTGGAACACTCCTTTTTGAGTTGGATTTCTTCATTTGAATCCAAATCACCAACATTCCCGCAGTTTGCAAACTTTCATTAATTTTGGAAACATAAATCAACACTTTCAGACTAAAACAAAAATAAAAAGGTACTAATAATTAGTTAAAATCCACACTTATCAGCAGCCAAGGGCAAGTGGCCTGAAGAGTTAGGGGAGTGATATAGGCATAACGGACGATGACCAAGTCGAGCACGGGGGAGACACCTTTATCTCTCGTATATGGCACAGAAGCTCTAATCCCAGTAAAAGTAGGAGAACCGACCTTGCGGTACTTCTGGGCGGACAAAGAAGCAAATAATGAGGCATTACTAGTTAAACTGGAGCTGCTTGACGAATGCATGGACTTGGCGCATATAAGAATGGTGGCTCAGAAATAAATGATGGAAAGATACTATAACCGGAGGGCCAATCTTCGCTATTTTAAAGTGAGAGACTTGGTTTTGAGGAAAGTGACTCAAAACAGCCGAGTGCTCAATGCGGAAAAGATGGGTCCGACATGGGAAGGCCCTTTCGAGTTTCAGCTGTCACCGAAAAAGGGGTCATACGAACTAGAGAACCAAGACGAAGATAAATTACCGAGTAACTGGAATGTGACTCACCTCAAAAGGTATTACTACTGATGGATCCTGCTTATACTGAAAGTATGTGCTGCACTCTTTTTCCCTTCGCCCAGTTTTTATCCCAATTAGGTTTTTCTGGCAAGGTTTTTAATGAGACAACAATGAAAAACGTACTATGAAGGAAACATCATCAGCAGAGTTAAGACCTTTAAATAACGAGGCATTGAGACAACAAACCACTGCAGGATGGTTATATAGTCTTTGGCTTGATGGAAAATTCCTAATAGGAAGTAAAACTTGCGATCAGACCAAAGGTTATTCAACCGTTCACAAGAATGTTTCCTAAAAAGAGCAAGACCTCTAGTGTTCCAATTCGCATACTTCGCATTCGAACATTGGGGGGGGGGAATAGTACGAGAATACGACAACATGATTGCCACGGAAACCGGGACTATGAGACCCGAGAATAATAAAGTCTCATCGGGATCGGGGACTGCACAGCTAGCCCCGTAGAAATAAGTTGTACATGTTAGCCACTGGTATTGGCAATCTTCTTCTTTTCAGCAAATGAATACTTATGTACTTTGAAGATAAAGGTAACAAAATGAAGTCCTTTTGTATTTTTATCTTGCTTCTTGTCAAAAATGATAAACTGATTTTATCATTTGAAAGTTAACTGAAAACTTCAAATACTAGTGCCTGAATGAATAGGAGACGTCCTCTTTAAGAGCACCGTAAACATAAGAGGGCCTTCTCTTATAAAACCCTCATACTAAAGGGGTGGTTACAGAAGATTTTATGCTCGAAACCCAAAAGATATCGGAAGAAAAGACATCTGAAGCCTTACTAAATTCGACACAAAAAGAAAGAACCTTGCGCAATGCTTAAGCAAAAAGGTCCTTTTTATTTGTCAAACATGTCAAGTGGAATAAGTACAAAAATATAAAAGGAAAACAACAAAAGAAAAGAAAATAGAAAGGCTAAAATTTGTCGCCACCGGAACTCGGGGGAAGAGAGACATCTACGCCCCCGAGAGAAGCAGGCGGATCTGCCGCCGTGTCATGCCCTGAACCTAGGCCTGGACGTAACACAACACTCGGTGCCTGACTATATATGACCGAGCGAACCAACTGGCTGGCTGAATCAACATGTGATATCATAGCATACTGAATACGGAAGATAAACTAACACATGCTGATATACTGAAAGTCTGAATGACATAAATCAAGTGCGGAAATACTAACATAAGTCTGAAACGTATCTGTAGCCAACATTGCTTAACATGAAAAGCTTGTGACTCTGTCTAACTGTTACTCTAGTCTATGAATCCTCTAATGAAGTACTGAAAACACTGATTGTTTGTAAATACATAAAGACTGTAACGTAATGGTAATGCCCCGAAAGAACTGGGGCTCACCAAATAGCTAGTACGAAGATCCTAGCACTCTGAATCGTCAACCTGTAAATTATTACCTATATCGTGAGATGTAGGCCCTGGGCAAAAGGGATGTCAGTACATTTAAATTGCACTAGTATATAAAGCAACTAAAAGAATGAAATATAAATGGTGAAGATGATGCTGAGCTGATAGCTGAGAATTGATAATTGATAACTAGAATGGTAACTGTTGAAACTAAAACTGAAATGATAACTGTTAACTGATAAAGGAAGTAAGGATATGAATACTCCCTCTTCTGAATGATGAACAATCTGTTTATCTGAATAAATAAACTATGGCCTCAGGCCCAATATATATGTGTACAAACTACGGCCTCGGGCTCAAGTATACGTATACATAACTGCAGCCTCAGGCCCAAAGATGCTTAAAGCATTAACTGCGGCCCCAGGCCCAAACATGCATAAAGCATAAACTGCAGCCTCAGGCCCAAACATGCATAAAGCATAAACTGCGGCCTCGGTCCAAAGTACTGGTGTTCAACATTAAATGATTAAAAAACAGGAACTGAGAATGCTGAAATACTGAAATACTGAACCATACTGAGTTACGTGATACTTGAATGCTGAATAGAACTAGACTGAGACATGTATTCATGAACTGATTATGAGAACTTATGCTCTAACTATTTATGACATGCTGGTAATCTAGACTGAAACTCATAGGAATTAAACACAAGTCTATATTGATTACGCACTGAGCTCACAACGTTCAGAATAAAAGTCATGAACGAATTATGAAGCTAGAGAATAGAAGTTCTGCAACTATTCAAAGAACTAAACTTAACTATATGTTTTTAGGCAATTAGTAACGTTGTAAAGAAACGTAGTGTAGGGAGAATCATTAAAATTCCAAAACATAGAGAGTTCTCCTCCCATACCTTAGCTTCATTCTCTTGAGTGTAATACAACATTAGCCAACCCTTTCAACTCTAATTTATATCAATACAAGTCAAAGGGATTCCATATTAGCAATAATACTCATGTTTTGGTCACTTAGGCATTTTATCAAACACTTGGTAGGTATAAAGATTTGCCCTCATTAATGGTGTTTATGCATCCAACATCCCATTCTCTTACTCCTAGAAAATTCTAAAATCTCAACTTGCTATAATCAATATCATTCTTCATCATCCATAAGATAAACAACACCCTTAATCAATAATCAACAATGAACAACCCAAACCTATAATCACTCATGATTTTCTATCAAACCCATCAACTCATATCTCAACTTAGTGTCTATAATCATTAATCTAATGCTACAATCAATTAGAGGGTGAAGATATTACCTTTTGATGTTCAATCCTCTTGAATTCAAGTTCTAGGGTTTCTTCTCTCAACAATGATGTCCCAATCGAATAACTAATGATTTGAAGGGTTTACCCATATTAATAAGGTATTGGAGAATTGAAATCAACTTAGAATCTTCATTAGAACCTACCTTGGATGGTTGAGGGACCTTTGAGGAGTTAGGTTCTTGAGAGCATCCCTTTCTAGTGCAAGTTTTGTT